TCATACCCGTTTGGTCCACCGTTTTCTACATGGGGAGATGCATGTGTCGGGTCGGAAGTGTGACAGCTATTTTCCATTCGTTGGGTGTGTTTGGGCATTTGATTTTGTCGAATTGTAGGGGACTTTCTGTTTTGAGTTTCCCTTGGAGTTCGGTGTTTTTGTTTTTTGCTTTTTTCAAGCATATAATTAAAAGAAAAAAACTAGAGGTCTGTGTCACTCACCTAAGTATAGGTGCATCTTCATCAATATATTGCCAGTCTCCAACATCGAAGACTAAAATCTTATTGTTTAGTTGATAATGTTTTGTGTGAGATTTATCTACCAATAAAACCCGGTTAAACCCACCATTTTTCTTCGGAAAGTATCTGTACCAAATCCGGAATATGACAGTTGTTTTTCACTCGTCCTATTGGTTGATGGCGTTTGATTTTGTCAGTTTTTATGGACTTCCCCTTTTTGAATTTATTTTGGAGTTCGGTATTTTGTTATATTGCTTTACTTTTATTTGTTTAAAGGTTCTCTCTATCTTCTATAGTGTTTGCCAAAGACAGAAAAAGGTACACAAATGGCATTTGAGGACACTAACTCCTATAAGGATTTGACGGACATTTTTGCCAATGTTGATTCATATGTAGATCATTTTTGCTATAACTTTCTGTACATCAATATATTACGTTCTAAAGATCTATCTATGCTGACCTATTTGCAAATCTTGTCTTGTTAATCAATATTTTCTTTTATCTATCGCATTTGATTTAGAACAGTTTTCAAGGTAAAATGCAAAAACGCAAAACAAAATGATATAATAAACATTAAAGGACAGTTACTCCTTTAAAGAATTGACTAAAAATTTCAGCCATCTTGACAAATTATAGATCCTGTCCCTTGGATCCTTGATGGGATTTTTTTTTAAGTTTCCATCGATCTGTTATCGTTTTGAAGATAAAATGATAAAAAATAATAAAAAAAGTCATTTAAGGGCATTCACTCCTATAAGGAGTTTATGGAAATTTTGGGCAATGCTGATTTAATATATGTAGATCAGTTTTGCTATTTAGATTTCTTTAGATCTATCAATTTAACTTTCTTTAGATCTATCCATTAAAAGTTGCACGATATAAGGCAAAACAACACAAAGTATTCGTAAAAAAATGTTATTTAAAAGCAATAACTTCTTTAAAGTGTCGACCAACGGTTTTAGCAATATTGACTTACTAGTATTCAAAGCTATTGTCTTGTTGATTATTTTTTATTCCTAGCTGTTCTCTCTATCTACCATATTTTTTTTTCGAAATGATAAGCAATCATGCAATAATTAATAAAAAAAATAGTCCACTCAGAGTTATAACTCATATAAGAAGTCGACAAACATTTTTGGCCGAATTGACTTATTTATAGATCTTGAGTTGTTGGATTTTCTCTTTCAATAGCAATTTTCAAGATAACATGCAAAACGTGAATTTACCCCTATATTCTATTTTAGCTATGTCGGCAATGTTGGATTAGATATTTGGATAATTTTTAACAAAACGGCTATAGCAGATAAAATATGTAGACTTTTTAAGCACTATGTGTTTTTATATATAAAAACACATTTGTAGATAGAGAGAGAAACAAACAGACGGAGAATCAATTGCAGCCTTACCAACTTGCTATTTCTTCCACGGTTTGCTAGGAACAATACGTTTGTTTTCATTATAAGGCCAAAACATCCTTCTCGCTAGCTTATCAAACTGACTTATAAATAATGTATACATGCCTCAAGGTACATGAATAACTGACGATTAATAGCCTTCACACTTAAATATAATTAATACTGTAAATATGTATTTGTGTGTGTGTGTGTGTGTGTGTGTGTGTGTGTGTGTGTGTGTGTGTGCTCATAAGTAGCAAACATTTTCCACTATACTTATATTATTTCAAATACAGTTGTTAATATACGCTTTATACCTTGTACATATAATATGGAGAGCTTTTATAGGCTGTGCCAGTTGCTCAATCCTTTTCACATCTTAATGATTATTATATCTTTAAATCGAAAGATTTTTTTTATAGTTCATAGATTAATATTAGAAAGAAATATTAACATAATAAGAAGCCATTTTATTGCAAGTGAAAGCTTAGCATGGAACATACGAGTAAATAATTATCAGACCATAAAAGTATTACCTGATGAATGATGTTATACGATTACCAAAGAGAAGAAAAAACACAAAAAGAAAAGTAATTCTCGATAATATAAAACCCGTGAATAAAGTTACTGTACAAAACAAATTTGTGTCTGAATTATGAAAAATAATGACACATACAATAACTTTGCCAAAAATGTACATGTGTCGTGGACAATCAAAACAACAAAGTCCAAAAAATAATCAAAATAAATATCAGTAATTACCCAGACAATATTACAGTCAACGAAAAAGGAAACTATGCTAACTTTTAGTTTCATCATGCTCAACTATGTAAGGGAACGCTATCATTAGGATATAAAAGAATGCGGATAAGAAATCATACACAATATACAAATATGAAGATGTGATATGATTGCCAATGAAACAACCCTCCACCATAGATCAAATGACATAGAAATTTACAACTAAAATATTTTAAATTCATAACAAAAATCGTCTTTAACACATTCAACTACATGCTATAGTAAACAGATTTAAGCCTAAATAGCCATTTTGATTTTAACGTTATATGAAAAGTCTTAACCTAAACACTTTCAGTATGGTTAAAAGTTTAAGTTAATTTTCAGATATTTGATGTTGGAAATTCAGTACCTTTCAAATACATGGCTTGCATTCAATACGATTACCAAAGAGAAGAAAAAACACAAAAAGAAAAGTAATTCTCGATAATATAAAACCCGTGAATAAAGTTACTGTACAAAGCAAATTTGTGTCTGAATTATGAATAATAATGACACAAACAATTACTTTGCCAAAAATGTACATGCAAAAAAAATATGCCTAAAATAGCCATTTTGATTTTAACGTTATATGAAAAGTCTTAACCTAAAAATTTTCAGTATGGTTAAAAGTTTAAGTTAATTTTCAGATATTTGATGTTGGAAATTCAGTACCTTTCAAATACATGGCTTACATTCAATCCAGTACTGTTCATCAGCTGTTCAGACAACTCAGTGTGTTATAGTCCTGTTCATGTACATAACGCCTACAGAACAATCTGAACATAGCCGGAACAGATCTGAATCGTTTGCATGCAAATTAAATGAACAGTACCAAATTTCTCGCAGTGGATAAGTTTAAAAGTTAACTATCGTACTGAACATAGCTAAATAATTTATTGTTCAGTCTTTTAAGACCAGTTCAGATCAAATTGACTGTTTTAGATCAAAATTAGTTTATTAGTGACTTACAATGCAGTTCATCCTCTCAAGGTTGCAATGTGCACCTTCTAGCTTCGGGTTTAACGGATTTCTTTGGTACTCGTGATAGATGTCAATAATGCTACATTTATGCATTAAAATCCCTAATGCTGAATAATGTAATAAAACATACAGCTTATTATACGCAGGGATGATGTTATTGAAAAAACCTACAGCAGCTGTACTTTTTTCACAAATTTGGTATTGTCCATGAACTAGTGTTTATTGAAATTCTTAGTATTCCCGAAAAAATAAAAAATAACAAATAACGGACTACAAATATTCAAAAAAATGAAAACAACACGTTATACAATTTCATGCGTCCGAAGCGCTTTTCTGGATTTACCTTCATCAGGAATGCTCAAGGCCAAATATTTGAAAGCCAAGGATTTATAAGAACTGAAAAAACTGAAGAGCTATACGACCAAAAAGAACCTAAAAAATAGCCAAATCCATCTAAGGCCAATTTTGCCTGAGGGAGTTGAAACCTTAGTTTTTAAAACGGACAATTTTAGAAAGAATTGTTATAAATCATGCCAGTACCGAAGTACTGACTACTGAGCTGATGATACCCTCGGGGACTGATAGTCCACCAGCAGAGGTATCGACCCAGTGCTGTAAAAAATGAAAACACGTTATATAATGTCATGCGTCCGAAGCGCTTTTTTTAAATATTCATTTTGAATGTTTTTTAGTGACAAAACTTTATCTTTTTTAATGTGAAAAACTCTTTGGAGGTTTTGAATGAATTCATTTCCTTTGAAAGTAAGAAATTTTCTCCGTTCACTTGATTTATGTTTACTACATTACAAAATACAAATATGAAAAATGCATTTCCCTATATTCATAATATTTAATAACAAAGTAAATTCATAAAATCTGTGTTTAGATGTATTATCTGCTATCGTCGTTAAGTCACAAATATCTAGTAAAAACTAAAACCATAATTCAACATATATCAATTAATAAAGTTAATTTTTATGTCAATTTAACAATTTTCGTTTCTATCCGGTACTAAAATTAATGTGACAAATATATTCTTTGAAGAAAAGTTCGTAAATGAATAAGTTTCTACAACGACTTAGCTCAATGTTGCTACTAATCACTACAAGATTTCCCCTAAGATCGAAATTAGCTTCCTGAATAATATAAACCATGCAGATCTCACTTCATATTTACATTCAGTAAATATATGTTTTTACAGTTAGAATGTTACTGTTATCAAGAAACTATAAACAGTAATTAGTTTGACCTATAAACAAAAAAAAAAGATTGGCAATGATATTGATATTAGACATTTCGCAAGTTCAATATTCTTTAGTACACACATATGTCAAAACTATTATTCTGAAACAGTTTTACGACATTTCACACCTTTTTTCCATGTTTTCCTTTCAATGTTGATTACACATTTTACATGTTTTACGCAAATACTTATATATTGATCATTAAAGTAAGTGTGCTTCAGTTGCTTGTAGTATTAGCATGCGCAAACATTATCATGATTAAAGCGACCTTCAATAACAATTACATGATATATGTTTGTACTGGATGACTGCATCACACTTTAATTCTCCCACTCATAATCAATATGTATAAATTATCATGGCTGAGCTAGCAAGCATGGTTATTTAAAATCTGGTTTATTACTTTCTTCACAAATGAATGTGCTGTATATATGATTTTAAATTTTTTATACGGGAATACAAAATGTCAATGACAAATGCAGACAAAGGGTGGGCTTTGATTATCCTTGTGGCTGCGTTCGTAGAGAATTGTTTAGTGGGATTCTCTCTCTATGCTATAGGACTCATTCATATCATATTTTTAGAAAAGTTCAAAAAGGAAATAACTTTAACGTCATGGATTAGTGCTAGCTTTATATGTCTCCTTAGCTTGACAGGTAAATCGATATATTTTTGTTTACTAAACAAAATTGTATAATATAAATAATAAGTTTTTCATTTCTATTTTTGTTTTACAACTATCATTCAAGTGAGGTTACAATTTTGTACGGCATCACGAAACTGAAAATAGTTATAACATTAATATAAGTAAAATAATAAATTTATTGGATTTGTCATAATTTTCCTGTGTTCTTTATTCATTTATCCGTGTTTTTTATTCTGAAGTACTTATCTGTTTTGATTCTTTCAGTTTTATAAGATATAACTTTAACGACTACGTCGTATATGACCTCATAATCTTAAAAGGCGGGTATGATATTTGCAGTATACTTGTTAAACCTGCAATTTTCTGTTTATTGCTCTTCCTTTTGAAACACCATGATACATGCCTTCTTACGTATAATCATGTATTATTCTGTATAACAACAATGACTTTACTATCTTGCAACAGTGCAACAGTGGCTCTACATCGTAGGAAATGGCAGTAATCAGTAATCAGCACTTATATATAAAACTTACTGGGTATATGATATTGTTGTAATCTTTGAAATATTATATCTAAATGAATATCTTATTTTCTGTAAATGCCTGTATTATTTCCGTGTACATATTTAAGTCTGAACTATAGCAGCTAATTAACAAAAAGATGCCATTCGAAGTTTTTTTTCAGACTTTATCCAAAATAAGATTTGAATTTTTCGCATCAATTATTTTGACTTTTTTTTAATTTGTTGATGTGAACCTATATTATTTTTTTTCAATTATTGAGTAGCTGTTCGTGACAATACAACGCTTAGATATGTTATGAGAATAATAGTCGACTAGACGATCTCTCTCTCTCTCTCTCTCTCTCTCTCTCTCTCTCTCTCTCTCTCTCGTTGGTCAGTGAGAATGAGATATTTACCTGTAACTGTAATTACATCCATCCTTATTTTTCACCTCAAGAAACGTTTGACCTAAATTTCCTTTTTTCACAGTATGCATATTTTGTCATAGTACAATTGTTTTTATAACGCATGGATAATTAATCTTTTTTATTCATTATATTTATCATCTGTCTATCGAGTGTGTTGTTTGTTAATTCATATCATTTTATGCGCACATGAGTCCGTTAATAGTAATAATGTGTAGGAGCTGGTGGAAATAATTCTTTTAAAAATATCTATTGAATACATTTCAAAATAATAAAAATAGAAACGTTATGAATATTTAACAATTTAATACTTAAAAGATATATTCATTTTGTGTTAACATGACATATCCTGGATATGTTAACTTTCTGTAAGTTCTCTGTTTAAAAAATGTTGAACTATTCGAAATGCTAAGGTGTTCCTACCCCTATTTATAGATTGCTTTAGCCGTATTTGGCATAACATTTTGGAATTTTGGGTCCTCATGCCCTTCAAGTTGCACTTTGTAAATACAGCTGTTTCACAAACCACGCCTCTTTTGGGGAGAAACTTAATATTCATAGATATTTTGTTTTGTTTACCTACTGGTTCCCAGATATGATCTTTATGCTTCATCTCGTTGAAACACAACTTGAGAATATTACCAGTATAAATACTCATGGATGGCGGCCAAAATAATTCTGAGGAAGACCCAAAGTGAAAGGAGGGGTAGTACAGAATTTTAGTAAAAGTTTAAACTCTTAGAAGTTAGAGGCATATAAATGTTGAAAATATGCCGCACAACCCTATGTTTTGACCTTTGAAAAAAAAGTAGTGCATATAAACTTTCCATTCTAGGATATCAGTTTTTTAAGAAACTTCATAGTAAAAGTGACACAGTTTTAGCCGTAAAAGGAATTCCTATGGGAAATTGAATTGTCTATATTTGCAGAAGTGCAACCTTCAACTTTAATTTTTCCTTCTGACTGTTTTAATTTGAGCGCTACTGATGAGTCATATGTAGACAAAATGCCCACCTTTCTTACTATATTAGTAGCCTGGTATTTTGATGGGTCTTTAATAGCCACTTGGTTGATGTCACAACCAAGTATGTAGCGCTTTTGTGTTGACATGCAATATCATATTGATATGTTTATTTGCTGTAAAATTACTCTCTACAAAATTTTGAATTATTCAAAACACTAATGTTTTTACCCAAAGGCATACCTGATCCGTATTTAGCACGTTTTCGTAATTTTTAGTTTTCAATGCCCATCAACATCGTGTTTGATTTGACCTTTGCAATTATAAGATTTATGTAGACGAAACGCGCGTCTAGCGTACGGTACCAAATTATATGACTGGTATCTATGAAGGTTTTTTTTTAATACACCAATAGGAGAAAAGTGCATTTGGAAATGTAATTATTCCCTTAAGTTGAATACGAAACTTAAAATACAAATATCTTCTGATACTTTGGAATAATGATTCATTTGATAACACTGATCTATTTAAACATGTTTTGGTAAAGTTTCTCTTTGTCAAAAACCATCTCGTTTTGTTTATATTTGTTTGGGTAATTAACAATAATGCGACAATACTTTACCGATCTCGTGAATTGTTGAGGAAGAGACAATTCACCATAACAAATAAACACGAAGGGAATGCCAGCGATTTTAATATTGTTTCAACTTCCTACTGGGGCTGATTTGTCATTATTTAATAGTTTGTGTACCTCTTTTCAGTTAATGATTAATAACCTAGCATTTACTCTATGTACATATATAATATTTCTCGTAACTTCTGTAACATGTATAGAACGGTGAAATAACGTTGTCTAAGGAAAAGACTATATATTGAATTATTAGTTTTGGTATCTCTATTTGGTTTTGTATACGATAATTGTTCGTCTACATCTCAATACTGATTATGTAGTATGTAGTGAATTTGTATGAGGTGTGACCATATTAAACATTAGTTACAATGAAATATCGTGATTTCCAAGATCGGTATTTTCACATGTTTCAGAAAATATGTATTCACACGCCTCTGGCGTCATACAAAAATATGTTTCGTCAAAACGTTATCAATGACGTTGCATCAATAAAATATATAACGATAAAACTTTATGCACACTGTTATTTCAGTCGTTTTCGTATCACTCTATTTGTACAGTTCTTTCTTCAAACTACGCATTCCCAAAATGTAAAACGTTTTAAACCTTGCATACTTAACAGTCAAAGTCTGCATATAGCTTATTTCTATGTAAATGTCTTAACGACAACTAATAAGGAATTTTCAGGTTTGGTTGATTCAAGGTTGTTCAATGTTCATCAATTCCTCCTCGTCTAATGTGCCAAATCGTCTGCCGTAACTTTTTGTTGTCATTTTTTGACGATCCTGTTCATAAGGATATAATAATTGAAACAGTTGACAAACATGAACAAATCATACCTTTTGTATGGTATGAATGTATATTAATATATAGTATTGTCATACGGAAACAAATATTATAAAGGAACTGATAGCACACCAAATATCCGATCCTGTGCAGTTACATGTTCATAAGTATGATCTTTCCTAACATTTTATCCCTGTGTTTATTGAACAAAGAAATATTTATTTCTGTTGCAGGACCTTTAGCCAGTTATTGCATTGGCAGATGGGATTGTCGAGTTACCATGATAATGGGATCACTCCTCATGACGACATCTCTAGTGGTCACAGCATTTGTAAACAATATACTACTGGCCTTCATATTTTTCGGTGTTTTAGCAGGTATTGTACATGTTGTATGCAACTATAAATTGGTTTTAAACAAATTGAATTAGTGATTGCATTTCATCCCCATTATTGGTATTACATAGCAAGTAGAATACATCCAACTTAATAAGTGTTGAATTGAAATTTGTGAACAGTAATACATTAATAAGGAATACATCATTATAATACGATACATTAGAACAACCTTTTTTTTCAGTAAAATACAAAGCAACGTACCCGATGTGGGTTGTGCAAAAACTTCTAGAGTGCACTATTGTATAACATTTCACTAGACATGTGTGCAATAAAAAGATATTAACAAAAATACCGAACTCCAAGGTAAATTCAAAAAAGGGGTCGTCCATAAAAAATGACAAAATCAAACGTTATACTATATTAACCAACGGAACAAATGAAAAATAACTGTCATATTCCTGACTTGGAACATGCATTTTCACAAAAAAATGGTGGGTAAAACATGGTTTATTGCTAGCGAAACCTCCCACTTTTATGACAGTAATTTCATCTGAACATGGAAGTATTAGCGATTTATAAACATATTGGTCTTGTCTTTTTTTCATGCAATTAAAGAGAAACTGTGCGCAAATGTATTGATTGGTGAATGTTATTTATCATGCAAATAACTAAAATGTGTAAAAGCAACCTCGTGTACTATGACATATTCCCTTCAGGACAATATTTATCAAAATACACGCCATTACCCTAAAAAATTTATGTGGTGATGATAAATTCTGAAAATGAACACAATGTAGGATAGTAAAGGATAGTTAAGCCTTAATGTTGCTTCAATTTATCTGTTAAAAATCAGCTTGGCAATATATCATATATACAGCTGTCCGTTACATATATTGTACAGTGAAGTATAAATATCGACGTTTTGATAAAGAATCACAGTAAAACAACTTAAAAGTGATGAAAATATTAGGATTTTTTAAAATTAAGATTTTAATGGCAATTGCATTTAAAAATTAAAGTTTTATATTAAATTGAAAATTGAAATGGGGAATGTGTCACAGAGACATCAACCCGACCAAACAGCAGAAAACATTATGTTGTTTTAATATCAAATACTGATACATATATTTGGAAATACTAATATATTTTGGATCCGATAAAAAGTAAACCTGCTGTTTTGTTTGGCTTTAACAGTACAATATATTATAACGAATAATAAATTGTAAATTAAGCCAAATGGAATCTTTTAGACCGCTCAGTCATCTCCAACAACTACAAAGACCGCAATTTCGCTTCAATCCTTATACAATTGGGGGATGACAGTCCGATTCATAAGCTGTCATATGACCTATACTGCCATGCATTATTTGTTAATATATTGTCCAGAGCTGCATGTCATACTTGCAAGCTCTTAAAATGTATTTAATACGTGACAAGTATTCCTCAATAATGTGTAAAATGTAAAATGTAAAACTTTTTAAACCTTGCATACTTGACAGTCAAAGTCTGCATACAGTTTATTTGTATGTAAATGTATTTAATGCGTGATAAATATTTCTCAATAATGTGTAATAATCTTTTTATGTACAATTCCAAAAAATGTAAAATATACCAGTATCATTGGTTTTAACTAATGATTACATCTATTTCGTTTCATAATGTTTTCAAGAACACAGAGTATGGCACTCGTCCGTTATATGTTATGCTATGTTTTTGTAGCTAGCTAATGTGCATAATAGCATTTAATATGTTTGAAACATTTTAAGAACCTTCTTCATGTTCTTGACACTAATATAAACGAAGACATGTTACAATGTTAACGTTTTGGCACTCATACCACATCTTCTTATTTACATGTACATATTTTTTAGATCGTACTACTTTTTTTTAATAATTTGTGTTAAAGCAATTTTTCTAAGAATGACTAGTTAAAATATCACCAAATACTGTATGTTGATTTCGCATAGAAATCAACAGGAACATATTTCTTGATCACATTATTCCTATATATTTCTTAGGTCTTGGAGTAGGTCTGATGTTTACAACTGGATTAATTGTTATAGCTTTTAACTTTGAAAAGAAACGTAACTTAGCAACCGGTATCGCTGTAGCAGGATGTGGAATTGGTCCATTTATATTAAGTCCTATTTATCAGATGATTTATAACGAATATGGATATAATGGATTCTTTCTATTCTACGCTGGACTATCTTTCAACGTATGCGTTGTTGGAGCAGTTCTGCGACCGTCGCGATTGGAAGTATCTAGCAAGATGGCAAAAAATAGAAATAGAATGTTACGTAAAAAGTACTGTGAATTTGATTTAACAGTTGTGCAAAATATACCATTGTTTTTTGTATGCATATCGGGAGTGTTCTTCAATATTGGAATTTTTATTATCTACTTACATTTCCCGGCATATGCAATAGAAAATAATTCCACACAAATGGAAGTTTCTTGGTATTTATCTATAGCAGGTATTTCTAGCTGTATTGGAAGAGTGTTATTGGGAATGGCAACAAACAGTGATGATGTTAACGAAGATATAGTATTCTTTGGAACGTACTCGCTCATCGGAGCTGCCACCATTGTAGTGCCTTTATTCATTAAAATTCATTATGCTAAAATAATGTATTCTATAGTGTTAGGAATGAATTCTGGGAGCTGTTACGTTGTTATTAGTACTATTGTTTTAAGATTGACTGGACCTGACCACGTTGCACATGGAACTGGTTATGTTATGGCCTACATAGGAATTGGATCATTAGTTGGACCACCTTTAGCAGGTACTTAAGCTGTTCGACTTTGTCTCATATATTACATGTACTTTATAATATTTAAGGAGGAGTGAGTTTTAAAATTAACAGATTTAAAAAATAACGGTTATGCATATGAAGATATTTTCTGAAGAATTAATATTCAAACAGAAACGACATTCGTTGTTTTTAATTAGGTATTAGCATTTTCAATTCATGATTGGGCGTGAAAACAGAATTTATCTTGATTATTCATATATTGGAATGGATAGAGGCATGTTCATTGTCAAAATCAAAAGCAGAAACAAATTATGTATCCAACTTCGAGTGAACATAATAACACGATATGAGCTTAAAAGTTCTGTGCCTTTCTATTCTTTTTATTTTGTTTGATAAAGTCCAATTTTAATTAATAAGATAATCAAAACGTGTTTATTTACTTATTAACACCTTGCACTACGTTTCTAGGTGTTATCGTTGACAATGGTGGAAGCTATGCATCATCGTTTATTATAGCAGGTATATATGTAGCACAAAGTCTATGATATTTAAAATAAGAGATGAATGATCATATAAAAATAAAAAGATAAAGTATGATTGCCAATGAGACAACTCTCCACCATAAACCAAATGACGAAAAAGGGTAGCAACATTATGCTACTGTACGGTTTTCAACAATGAGTAAAACCCATACCGCATAGCAAGCTATAAAAAGCCTCAAAATGACAAATGAAAATCAATTCAAACGAGAAAACTTATGGCCTGAATTCTGTACAAAACAATAAATGAAAAACAAATATGATATACAGCAAACAAACAACAATCATTCTCCCGACTTTGGACAGGTACATACAGAATGTGGCGGCGTTAAACATTTTTGCGGGCTCCAACCCTACCCCTAACATGGGGCAGTGGTAAAACAGTACCACATAAGAACAAACTATAAAAATCAGTTAAAAAGGGCTTAACTCATCAGATCGATACAAATATATAGTTTACTTTATACTACAAACAAAGGTATTAGTAACTTGGCTCTTGCTTCAACAACAAATTAAATGTGCACCTGTTAAGAGCATCTCAGCTTAATTATTGATAATAATTAAAAAGGATAACAGAAATACCAAAACAGCACAGCAGATCATACCAACCAATAACTCCTTGAAAAAATAGACGTGCAAATAAAGTCAAACAACGAACAACACATGGTTAAGACAGCCTGACTTGCTGCAGGCACAAACTGTGGAGGTTTTAAACCAGTTGTACATAACAACTTCCATTGCATATTTAGACCATAAGTGTGAACCACGCAAGCTAAACCATCACACTCCAGCTACAAACAGTAATGATTTAACATTCGATCCATCATTTTTCTATTCTATCAGAATGGTTTTGATTAATATTCTTTTATTTGATGATTGTATGTTCTTAAATACTTATGCATCTAAATAATTAAAAAAAACTAACGCTTTAGCATTCCGATATTGGGTAGTTATGTCAGAGGTATCAGAACATTCTTCTGCAGGCAGATTTAATCTCATACTGGCATGTGGCATATCAATTGAAACGAAAAGTCCATACGAATGCAGAACATATCTTTGGCGAAATCATCTGGTTAGATATCAAGACAATATACTCGTTACATGATCGATTTCAGGTTGGGCAAAACACCAAAATGAAAGAGAAAATTTGCAAAAAGACCCCAAAAAATAAAATCTTAATAAATAAAAGTAACAAATTTATTGAATAAACAACCTTATCATAAGATGCAATTGTTATACTAATAATCAAAGAAAAAGGCAAGATATTCAAACACGAAACTCAACAAAGTTTTGGTTAACAATGTCAACTGTAAATCTATAGATCAGAAAAACAAATGTTGTTATGATTATGACCAAGATTAAGGGGAACGGTGTACTACACGACCGAACATATATATATAAAATCTTTAAAATGCTTTACATTACCGGTATGACACCAGAACATTTGATATTAACTTATTGCAGTACCTGTGTTCAATCGAGGGAAGTATTGTTTCTGTTATACATGTTTTCCCTTCTAATTCACATCTATGTTCTTATTCTTCTTCACTTTTTCAGGATTATCACTGATACTTGGTGGTTTTACAGAACTCTGTAATGTTTGTTTTAAAACGGACCTTTACAATAAACCAGCGATTGAAGAAATTGAGATGTCAATTGGTGATAAAGAGATTATTAGTAAATACACTCATGCCAAGGAGGAGAAAACTGTGTTAACATAAAATAAATTCATTACTAAATTCCAGAAGGAACTATTAGAACTTTTTGTTTATTGTTCATGAATGTCACACAATAGAACTAATATTGAGTATTTATAACATTGGTTGTAGCACAGTCGTTTTATAGAACAGCAAAAACATCATTCTATAATTGTCTGTCCCAAGTCAAGAGCCTGATGTTGTCTTTTGTTTGCTATCGTCATTTGTTTTTCGTTTATTGTTTTGTCATAAATCTGGTCGTTGGCTTTTTTTTCCCTTGAATTGTTTCACATTTTGTCATGTTGGGGTCTTCTATAGTTGACCATACGGTATGCATTTTGCTCATGTTGAAGGCTATACGGTGGCCTATAGTTGTTTAAATTCGTTTCATTTGGACTCTGTTGCATAGTCTCATTGGCAGTCATACCACATCTCCGCATTTTATATTTGTTTTTTTCCAAGCTATTTAATGCATGTACAGTTTAAATACTACAGAATAATTATGTTCGTGTCTTTACCAATTAGCTCTTATCATGATAATGTCGCTTGTCTTTCATGGTAAACTTGTAACTGTTACTTTGATGAATATTGTTTTTAAAGAATTGTACATTGTTGTAGCAGAAATATTTTTTTTACACACTAAGGACAACTTTTGGCAAATATTCTCAAACATCAGCATAAGACAGGCTGGTAGGTAGTACTCAACAATAAATCTACTGATTAACACTTATCGTCAAATGTTATGCAATCCCTTGATATCCAGAAATGTAGAAGAAACCATTGTTTATCCCAATTCAGAAACAAAAATAAGGTTTTTAACGTTTGAAGGCCTACCCGAACCATGTCTTTTCGAGTTGGTTGTGATTCCACCGATGAAGTTGCTTGAAAATATGCGTTACTAAAATATATGCAATTAGTGATTATTTCAGTCAGAAATCACAATAAAGGCCCTCTATTTATTAATCTAATAAATCAATTTTATAAACATAAATATTAAAAAATTGTAAACCCAAAACTGGAACCAACAGTAAAAACGAGTGACTTTGATCAAACCGGTCTGACTGATAAGTCTGAAAAGACTCAATAGAAAATAACCAACTCAAGTTTAGGTTGTAAGTCAATTATGCGTACTTTTTATATTTCAGTACTGTTTAGACACTTTATTTGAGATCAATTTTGATCTCATCAATATATTCACAGAGTTTTCAGTAGCTGTTATTTACATGTACAAATCAAATAGTGAACTGTCAGAAATGGTGGATTTACTTCGGGCGATGCGTTTGCATTTTTATGTGTAATTACCGCAACAAATAGATCTGAGAAACAATTCTACATATATATTAGTCCATGCACCTAATTGTTAAGGAGTTCAAGATGGTATCAATTTCAATGTTGACTGTTTGGACTAAGATATGTTATGGTAATTTAGGTGAAAAGTATTATCGGCATCATACTACAGCTATGACTGTAAATATAGTAACACAAGCAATTGTGGTTTGCATCAGGCTTTATGGCATGTAGCAGGACTGTTATAGTAAAGAAATAAATGTCGATATATAACTTTTTTGCTATATGTCATGATTTTATAGGAGTCCTCTTGTTAATGATCATTCTGAAGTTTGAATAAATTTTAGAATTATATCTTTCAGCATAATGTGTGGTTTAGTGTTTTTCTTAATATGCTTAGATATTATTGAACTGCCGTATAAAAGAGGGGGAAGGCCGGGATAAAATCTGGTTTAACCGAACACTTTGATTTGCAAAGTGTATGTACCATGTAGAAATAACGAAAAGCGCCACTTGCTTCCATGACTTTGATAGTTTGAAAAAGGATTTACCTAAAAACTTTAACTTTCAAACAATTGATCGTGGTATTATAATATTAATGCGTTGGTCTAATTAAAAAGTTGTAACATTATATAATTAAATTTAATATTCTATACTCCAATAATGGTATCACACAAATTAGTGTATGGCATTTGATACAGTGCGCATCTAGAAATATTTCCTTCAATATTGACAATCCATTTACAAGAATCCAAAAAGGACAATAGAGGAAATCAATTAAGGTGATAAAAAATTTCGATTGTTTTTGTGACACTTTTATAGGTCGGTCGCTACAACTGTATGGATTGAAAACAAGCACATTGTACCTTTAAATTTCCAAAGCTTGGTCACTTCTATGATTATTTCATTGTTTTATTTAAGACGAAAAATTCCAAATTGATATATAAATTAATAAATCCATGCAATGCGATAATCATTTTATCGCATTGCATGGATTTATTAATTGAAGTTACTGCCAAAATTATGTTTATTTGATATTTTTGATGTATCATTGTGCGAATATATAAATACATAAACTCATGAGAGGTGTATAGGTTGACTCTAATTTGATAAAAAGGAGTAATCATATCTCAAATAGGACAAGCATTAGTATCAGCGATAACAAACAGTAAGCAATTTTGAATTTTATTTATATAATTATTCATTTGTTTTACATGTTTTAAAAAGAAAATTATTCAATTGTTTCTCTTTTTAGTTCTGCTGAAATGTATTAAACTGTATGTAAAAAAAAAAGATTGTAGGATTATAATAGCGGATACGACTTATCACCAGATTTGTACACGTCATTAGAAAGATAATAATAGCGGATACGACTTATCACCGGATTTGTACACGTCATTAAAAAGATAATAAAAGCGGATACGACTTATCACCGGATTTGTACACGTCACTAGAAAGATAATAATAGCGGATACGACTTATCACCAGATTTGTACACGTCATTAGAAAGATAATAATAGCGGATACGACTTATCACCGGATTTGTACACGTCATTAGAAAACAGATGTATGCAACAAATGGAGCAAGAAACGCTTGCTCTTTAATTAACATGCAGTTCATCTTATTTTTGCCTGCGGATTTAGTACAATTTTTGTTGCTGTTGTTATTGTTTTGTTTTTGTTTTTTTATTGGGAGTAGGGTTTAGGCTATTGATAGTCTTTACATCTTTTGTTCTCATTGATATGGTCTGGATTGTCAGTCTTTCACTTATAAAAGAGAGGCGAAAGATACTGAGATTATATTCAAACTCATAATTCGAAAACTGACAATTTCATGACCAAAATAAAAGAAACACGTGACTGTGTGGTTAATAGAAGAAAACAATTAACAATCCACACTAAAAAAAACACTACCAAAAATTAGGATTGGCTGAATTTGCCCATTTTTCCGTGGATGTTTTCATTCGTTAGTTTAGGCTTTGGATTTTCAAATATTTTGGCCTCGAGCATCACTGAAGAGACATTGATTGTCGAAATGCGCATCTAGTGCAGAAAAATTGGTACCGTTTATGTTATTACTAACACAAGGTCGATGCCTCTGCTGGTTGACTATAGTACCCGAGGGCACCACCAGCCCAGTAGTCAGTACTTCGGTACTGGCATGAAAATGCGGCTTTTGTGTTATTGAAATTTGCTGTTACAAAATTTTGGAAATTATTTAAAATTTAGGAATGTATCTCCCTCATGCAAAGCTCTGATTCCTTGTCGGCTTTGGCTATACTTTTTGTCCTTTTTGGTTTATAGCTCTTCATCTTTTTAATAAGCTTTGGATTTTCAAATATTTTGGCCTCGAGCATCATTGAAGAAACATTGATTGTCCAAATGCGCTTCTGGTGCAGAAAAATTGGTACCGTTTATCATAAAATTGAGAATGGAAATGGGGAATGTGTCAAAGAGACAACAACCCGACCATAGAGCAGACAACAGCCGAAGGCCACCAATGGGTCTTCAATGCAGCGAGAATCTCCCGCACCCGGAGGCGTCCTTCAGCTGGCCCCTAAACAAATATGCATACTAGTTCAGCGATAATGGACGTCATACTAAACTCCAAATTATACACAAGAAACTAAAATTAAAAATCATGTTTATGTTATTACAGTTAAAAAACTATACATTGTGTTTGATTTTTTAAAATGTACAACGAAATTCATTAGACATAAAGATAATTCAACAGTAGCATCACCACAGGCATAAAACATCAATGGAACTCTGTAAATCATCTTTATTTTCAGAATTAATCAAAGAACTTACATTGTAATCCAATTAAAAAACACCTATTGGTTAAAGACTTTAACATATATCTAATATTTCGCAATGGATACTAAATATGTTGGTCGAAAGGAGATGACAGCAGATGGATCAGCTGCCGTTATATTAATTGCAAATATTGCGCTCGTAAAAAATTAATAAAATCAGATGGGTGTACTGAGGACGCATTGTGCGTTATACCTATAGTCCTCCTCTTTTAGTCAATGGGCATTCTTGCATTGAAAGAGGTGTTGATAGTTATATTGGCTAATCGTGAAAAACAGAATGAAATAATACAGAAAACTCTGCAAGAAAGAACAGAAAACAAAAAAGGTGGAATCGACGAACTACAAACAGCAGTGAAAGAAGAATGGATGATCTAAGAAAAAGAGAAAAAAATAAATGATGTATGAATAACGTGATCCTTGGATTACTAAGTTTCGTAATCAATTTTGTTATTAACGGGATGGAATTGCGATGAATCCAACATTTTACAGTGTTTTTTTCATAATTTGACGTACAAGTTCTTTAAGAATCTTAAATTCCGCTTGCTCTCTCTATATCGCGGATAATTCAGTTTGTTATTGAAGTGATTTCTCCTTTAAAATTTCTTTCTTTTTCTAGTCTGCAAACCATGACAATTTTTTCTGAATCGTTTGTAATACAATGGTATTCGTAATTGTTTACAAGGAAGACATATTCATCCACATGTCCGCCATATCAATGGGAAATAGTACTGCATCATAGCGGTTAGCCTAAAACTAAACAATCAATTGATCAATGTCGATGGTGTTTAATATTTATTTAGAAGACTTAAAACTATCGCGTATTTTAATTTGTTTTGAAAATGTGACATTTGTTGACATTTTTTCTGAACTTAAAGAGATCTGGGTTGTTTATTTACGTTTTATGTTTGATTTGATGGTATCTGTATCACATGAATAGTTTTGAATAAAACATATAATCCCTCATAAAGTTATATTTCAGCGGTCTGTTTTACATATAAAAACTCTGTCCGTTTTTATGTACCGGTTTGTCATAAGCTTATGATACTCTTAACAAGATGAAAAGCTAAATATAATCTTATTAAGTTGACTTTATAGACGGATTTTCGCTATTGTGTTTATATCTTGTTAGTTTTTAAACATTTATTTGTTTGACACCCTCCTCCTAAAACATTAGATGTCAAACTAACCTAAGGTAAGCACGGAAATCAAGACTATTTTGAATGGTCCCTATGAACGATTAGAAATAGCAAGATCTGACCTTCACAAGAATATTAAAACAACCCAACTAAACAAATGACGAAAACAAAATTAATGCAGATCTTCTCATTTAGTTTTCAACAATATGCCAGGCTCTATCTAAATCTTCCTGGTTCTAAACAAACCTAATAACTCTTGAAACTATAAAAAATATGCAATGTACACCAAATTCATTAAGCAAGAACAAAACATTAAAATCTTATATTATAAAGGACAACCATACACGAGGTTTTCTTTTACTTTGGACAGGAGCATGAATATGGGACGCGTTAAACTTTTTTAAATCCAATTCCCTTCTCGTTCAGTGGACTAACAGAAGGTACACAAAAGAAAAACTAATAAAAATCAGAATAGAAAAAGCACAACTCCAAAATAACGGTATAATAGATAACGAAAATACGTGACTTGTGTACAAACAAAACAATATCATAGCATAACAAAAAATTATCTGCTGATAACTTAAAATATATTCTTAATAATGTCAACTATTATTGGGTGTATACCTCATATCATATTTCATACAGCAACGTTCACAAGAGTACCGGAGGACACGATGGTATGCAACGATACAAAATTGCAATGCAGAATAACAAATGAAACATTTACATATATCTAGTCTTAGTCTTGCTTCAAACTATAAATTAACGATTATCATCTCCCAAAAATACAAGAAGCAGAGATTGAAATGCAACAGAATGATTATAACTTTTACCAATATTCCTAATTTAAAGGATACGATTAACATTTTCACTAAGTGTTGACAAGGTTGATGAAATAAAATGACCTGGATTTTTCTCATTCGACAGTAAACCCATGCAATGTTTAAGATAGGGTCGGTCTAGTTCTGCAGGATGTATAAATACGCAGTCACGTACGGTCGGAACTAGGAATTCGATACATCGGGTAGTTTGTGTGTCACACTGTCAGTACGTTGAAGAACGTTTACACTAAATTTGTACTTTTTGAGAGGTCCGTATGTTGCCTCGTGTTGAAGGGCAAAATTTCTGTCCCGATCCAACATACCTCTTATACAGTTACTTAATTTCTCTCATATTATCTAGGTCTTTGCGACCCTACCTTTTGGAGTAATTGTTAATTTTTTTTTGTCCTCAATATGCATGAAATATTCAATATTATATAATTTATAGAAGGACAATTCTTAACTTTGTTAGCTTTATAAAGAAATAAAGAATATTACCATAAAAAGCTGGATTGGAAATACCATTTTAAATAATTCCTGCAGGTGAAATAATTTTTCCACAAAAATCTCTATATCTGATTTAGTTTTGTCAGTTTATGATGTTTCTATCACTACTGTAAAAATATTGAAGTAAAATTAATATTTCGTTTATTGAGACGTCACCGCAAACATGGGCATATCGAACCAATTAACTTATAAATGTACTTGTACACTCTATGTAAAAGGGTATAATATGAATCATAATATTTCCTCTGTATTCATAGGTTATGAAGAGAGAGAAAATACGGCCACTCAGTCAGTTTTGACGTATGCAAGGCTGAGGAGTATAATATAATATGGCATCAAATCTTTAAGTTTTAGATTCTCAAACTCGTATACATTTTTAACTACTGATAGCGACAACTTGATATAAAATTTTATTGCTATCATAATTTCGAGCAAAATATTGCAAAGCATCGTCATACATCTAGTCCAACTAAATCCATAATATAAACTCCACACATTGAACACTCATAAAAATTGTTTTTTTTTTTCCCAGTATGTGTCAGTTTCATGAATGTCACATTGTTCCGTCAGGTTCGGTCGCCTTTGGTTCTATTAACAAAATGATTTTCAAATGAGGAAAATCTGGCATCTCTATTGAATTTTCTGTTTCGTCTTAATGTCTGCTCTAAATATAAAATTAGTTAACATCAGCAATGGTATTAGCAAGTAAGGGAAATAGAACATCAACAATGCCTGTCTTTCTATTTGCGTTTTTGGTCCTTTAGGTTTTGATTTGCTGAAATCGTTGTACATAATATGGAAACAAATGGCGGCTGTAGTTGTTGCCACGTGTGTAGAATATACGATCATTGGGGTTCTTATCCAGGAACAGTTCTTGATTCCTGCAATGACAAAAAACAAACGTGTATTATATTTTGTTAAGCATTTTCCAACTACTATTTCTTAAATAGTTGTATTGAGGTAATCTGTTCTTTTGACGTGTACTGTTTGATTTTTTGGTTTTGAAAAATGTACATTTATTAGTTGAAACTCGGTTATGGACTAGCTAACAATTACTCTTAGAACATCATTTTGAGTCTTCTGTCATCTTGTTAGATGTTTTGTGCTTACTAACAATCAGTAGACAGCCTTTCCAATGGTTCCTATGTTGTGCTGTTCCACTCCTGGGACGGTTAGACGAGGGTTGAGCTCATAATCGTGTTCAATCCCACCACATTCTTTATGTGCCTGTCCAAAGTCAGGAGCATGTAATTAATTGGCTATCGTTATTTGCTGTTTATCATAACTGTTTGTCGTTTATTTCGTTTTTTAGCATAAATCAGGCCTTAGGTGTTTCTTATGAATTATTTCACATTGTCATGTAGTGGTTTTTTATAGCTTACTATACGGTATATATGGACTGTGCTCATTGTTGAAAGCCGTACGGTGACTTATCGTCAATAGATCTCTGTTGGACAGTTGCCTCGTCAGCAATCATACCATATAAAATTGAGAATGGAAACGGGGAATATGTCAAAGAGACAACAACCCGACCAAAGAGCAGACAACAGCCGAATGCCACCAATGGGTCTTCAATGCAGCGGGAAAATCCCGCACCCGGAGGTGGTCCTCAGCTGGCCCCTAACTAAAATTGTGTACTAGTTCAGTGAAAATGGACGTCACACTAAACCCCAAAACATATAAATGAACTAAAATTAAAAAACATACAAGACTAACAAAGGCCAGAGGCTCCTGACTTGGGACAGGCGCAAAAATGTCTTCTAATTTTTAATTGGTCAATTAAAATAAGAGAGAGAGAAGCTACCAAAAGTGCCAATCAAAAAACATAAATCGAAGAAAAACAGACAACACCATGGCAACAAAATGGTTGATGGACCCGTCGTGTTACTCGTGTCCTGTTTAAGTTATTTGTACATCAGCGTAGTTGGTTAGCGTCCATTGAACAATGAAACATGCATTTTAAGTGCAGGATTAGGTTCGTGGATTATACTATGACATAAATTTACATTAACTGAAATTGTACTGCATGGTCTGAAACTGTACAATTTGAAGTAGGGAACGATATATATTGAAAGTTTGTGGTTTTGGCAATGTTGAAGTTTTTGGACTATTCAATTTTAACTTTTTCGATTTTCAATTATCTCTGACAAAGGATCCTCCTACACCGATCACGTAACTGAAATTCCCAAAAATTGTTGGAGACGAATTGTACCATACGAGCTTGTTAAAATCAACCATTGTCTTACCTTTGATGAATGCATACACCGCTACAAAGAAAAAAGGAAACTGGAAGATAAATTCACAGTAGACAAAGGTTCTAAACCAGGCTGGAGGGTCAATCATCATGGTGTCCTTGAACTCTGCACAGTACCATGCTTTCAGTTCCACAACCTATAAAGACAACAAGTGTTTAAAAAAATCTAATTATGTTTATTATCTGTTTTTTTGCGGTTGATGAATAGTTTGAACTTTGCGACATTTTCATAGAGCATACGTAAAACATATTGGTATGCGTATGCAAATATATCCTATTATTTGTTTTGAATTTTTTCATAATATATTTCCCGATTCCTATTACTTATTTTTTCCTTCTTCTGTTATTCTTGTTTTTAAAATATTAAGGTGAAGTAATTGCTAATTCGGGGCGAAAGCTCACTAACAAACATCAACAAAGCACAAAGTTTAGATGATGTTATAAAATACGAATGTCTTCAATCAAATCAATATAAAAGTAGATGTTTAAATTCAAGTTGAACAAACTGTTTCTGTAAAATGTCCAAGCTCAAAATATATTGGCTCAGAATAGAGAATAAAGGGGGGTTAAAATTAACGAAATAGAGAATAATGGGCAAAAATAAGGCTAGAGAAAATTGGTATTAACAAGTAAAGAACACAGAAATTAACTCCCTCTCCTAGAGCTTCATATATTAATCGTATAATCATGCTTATCTATTCCAGACTAACTAAAAAGAGTTATGGCCCATACTTACAGGGTAAACCTTTCAAAATGGTAAACAACCCTATTGAAATTTGATTGTTAAAAAGGATATACCACTTACTGAACACATTTTTTTCAAAAAAATTACACATATTTTCACAAAATCAAAATGTTATTCAATGCTATATATATAGCTGCTGGATGCAATTTGATACACAATTGCAAATGTTACAAGTTTTTGTAATATATTGCATCGATGGTATCTAACCAAAATAAATTAATCGGACGACAAATACATGTGACTTTTACTTTCAACATAATTTATTATATTGTTAGACAATGTTAGATTGTCGACCTCCGTTCTGCTAGGAGTTAGTAAAGTAAAGACTTAACGACTATTTAAGAAAGCATGGCGATGGTGTGATATGAATTTAAAAGAAATTGGCCCTTCTTCTTTCTTCAATAAAAGAATAATACCATTTCATAAAAAATCTATAATAAGGAAAAATAAGTCAAAAAAATAAAGAATAGAGAATAGCGGGGTGCAAAAGTAAAACGATTAACAGTGGAAAATAAAGGAATTAGATTATATTATGCTGATTACAGAAATGAACTATACACAGAATAAAAAATTCGTAAGGGTTCCGCGGAACCCAGTGTCTCGCCTACTTTTGCTGTTAATTGCAGGCTCAACAAAAATGAGGAAAAAAATTAATAAAAATATTCCTCTCTATACTATCTTTTGATTGTAAGTAGCTTCTGTCCAAGTTTGGTAAAAATCCAGGATGGTTTTTGAATCTAATAAATGTTTTTAAAACTTTAACTGCAGACTGTATGTAAAGTTAACTGGAAGAAAAACTAAGTCCATTTATAAGTAAAATACGGAAAAAATGGAACATATTTTTATCAAAATTTTCTTCTAGATACTATCTTATGATCATAAATAAGCTTCTGTCCAAGTGTAGTACAAATCCAGGATAGTTTAAGAAAGTTGTTAAAATTTTAAAAACTTTAACCACAGAGTGAATGTAATGTTAACTGGCAGAAAAACTAAGTCCATTTATAAGTAAAATACGGAAAAAATGGAATTTTTTTTTTACAAAATTTACTTCTGGATACTATCTTATGATCATAACCAAGCTTCTTTCCAAGTTTGGTAGAAATCCAGGATAGTTTAAGAAAGTTATTAAAATTTCAAAAACTTTAACCACAGAGTGAATGTAATGTTTCCTGGCAGAAAAACTAAGTCCATTTATAAGTAAAATACGGAAAAAATGGAATTTTTTTTTTACAAAATTTACTTTTGAATATAATCTTATGATCATAAACAAGCTTCTGTCCAAGTTTGGTAGAAATCCAGGATAGTTTAAGAAAGTTATTAAAATTTCAAAAACTTTAACCACAGAGTGAATATTTGTGGACGCCGCCGACGACAACGACGACGACGACGACGACGACGCCGACGGAATGTAGGATCGCTATGTCTCGCTTTTTCGACAAAAGTCGAAGGCTCGACAAAAAATCATATAACTGCAAAAGAAAATTGTAAAATCATCTTCATGAGAATTTTAAAAGAAAAAAAACAATGCACTTAGATATAAAGAATACAGAAATTAAAGATCCTCCCCCCCCTCTCGGTTGTAAGATAGAATCACATTCCCTTATAGTAAAACTTTGATGTAAAACATTAACCAGCAAAATGTCGCTATCACATTTTCATAGAATACGTTTATAGTCCGCTATAGATAAGAACGTTTGCCTGTAAATATTGAAATTACCTAAATTTAATGCTATATTGTATCTCACTGTATGGCGAAATAATATTTCAAAATGAACGTCACGAAGGTTAGCATGCAAGATGTTGATATTACACTAATGCTAATAAAGCTTCGAATTGTTGACGTCTTTAGTGACAAAAATATATTTGAAACAGTCTTTAGGTTGGCGCCTGTTAAAACGTTTAAACCCGCTACATTTGTATGCACCTGCCTTAAGTCAGGAGCCTGTTTTTCAGTGGTTGTCGTTTGTTGGTGTGGTTCATATGTGTTTCTCGTTTTTTATATAGATTAGACCGTTGGTTTTCCTGTTTGAATTGTTTTACACTAGTCATATTGGGGCACTTTATAGCTTGCTGTTCGGTGTGAGCCAAGGCTCCGTGTTGAAGGCCGTACTTTGCCCTATAATTGTTAATTTTTATATATTGCGACTTGGATGGAGAGTTGTCTCATTGGCACTCATACCACATCTTCTTATTTATATTTAGGCTTTGCGCTATACAAGAAAAGGGTTGTTGCATGCAAATGTTGGTAGATATATCATCCCTCGTGGAAATCATATTGTTCTTCAAAGCTCCTGCAACATCAAAATCTACCCGGGTTAACGGTTATGCAATAACCATACATTACCGTAAATTTACAAATTATTTTCTTTCAGTAAATTACCATATAGTCTATGCAACGGTTTTTTTTTTTTTTTTAGATTAGCTTTCAATTTGTAAAAGAATAATATTCATATTGATCTTTTTATTAAAATATTGATTGTTGAGAAAAAAGCTTCTCTGTCTTGTCTGTAAAAACTACATAAGATTGACTTTAAATTTACCTTCGTTGGAAAAATCCATTTTGGTAAAAGCACCTGAGCATCTACAAATATGGAAATCGGTATGTGGGTGATAAAATAACATAAAAATATAAAGTCAAGCACAGCCGCCATTGCTTCTCAAACTAGCTACACGCTTTGGTAGTCTATTTAAATATTCTTTGTTTACATCCAGTTTAACTTGCAAACAATTATTGTATTTAAAATGTTAATTGACCCGTTACACTGAGCATTTCCGGGGCTCACGAGGGCTACTCCAAAACGGATATAGTTATGACAAACGTTTGAAGATCGCCGATAAATACACACACAATTAGCAGTAAATTTACATTTAATTGCAAATCTAATAAACAATAATTAAGATACCCAACATAAATGGATTTCCATGACCAATGCATTAACGTTTTTCTTGAAGTATATAGATTACCAGTGCTACATTTGTAATTAGTATTATATGAGTAAACAATGTATCATAAGCGATCAGCTGAAAGCCACTTAGGTGAATGCATAAGCTTTCATTTTTATGCACAAAGTACACCCTTAAGAGGGTTAAAGGAATAATAACATACACATTACAAATAATGAAACATCATCACAATAAAATAAATTGTAAAGCACACAACACAACATAGACATCAAGTGCCCCCTGTCCTCAGTTCCATACACTGTTTATAGGAACATAAGGCTAGTAGTTGGTTTTAGAATACATTTCGTTTTATTGTCAGAAAAAGATCGTTATATTGTATTTTAAAATCATTTGAAAAGACATGTTTTAAAATGTTAAATCATTATTTATTTTACAAAATAATAAGAAATGGGATTCATCATCCAGAACTTTGTATTTAATTGTTACATGTCTTTAATTGGCTCAACGAATGAGCAAAATGAGGTCATATATTTCACGTACTTGTGTTCTCGAGCGGCCGCTATAATTTTACATAGTCTTCCCAGTTCTATGTACTATAGATTGAAATATAACATAGCGTATTGTCCTCATTTTGGTAACAGGGTTATATAGTATTACCCAAGTCGTTCATTTTGTTTTTGCAAAATGCAATGTCCCGACTATGTTTCATTATGCCAGTAAATATATTCATGCACTGTGATGTTTAGTGTTGTAATCATCAATTATGTCAATCAATTGGAACTGATTTTTATGCCATTTATGGGCCTTATTATTTGGGAGATGAATATTCTATTCTATTCTATTCTATTCAGATGATATTTTTCTTTCTAATAGCTTCAATCTTTGAAAATCTGTATCATTACATGATATCTCCCTTTATTTATACTCATAGGAAACAAATCGAGCTCGCTTTTAAAAATAAAAATTGAACTCTTCAGGGATAATGAATTTTTATCGTTCTGAATATGCATGAAATATTTGCGACTGGACGTAAAGCATACACAATTCAATTGTTTTCTTGGTTAAGGTATTAGTAGAAAAACTCATCAAACAAATATATACCAGGCTTATAATTTTGTAGGCCAGACGAGATTTTCGTATACAAAGATTCATCAGTGACGATCGAATAAATAAACTCATCATAGATACCAGGATTGAAATTTTGTATTTACGCCAGACGCGGGTTTCTTCTACAAAAGACTCATCAGTGACGCTCGAATCAGAAAAAGTTAAAAAGGCCAAATAAAGTACGAAGTTGAAGAGCAAAGTAAAAAAACCGCTGTATATATACCGTGATGATAACGTCGTGTTAAGTAAATATACAATATTTGACCGTAATCATGTATATTTAGAAATTACTCTTATTGAAATTTGCTGTAACAGTTATAGTCTTTTGGAAATTATTTTAAATTATGGAATGTATATCCCTCATGTATAACTCTGGTTGGGCTTTACTTTAAAAAAAAATATCCTTTTTGATTATCGCCTGCATAAGGTTTTTTTATTTTTAAAAATGTTGCCTTCTAGCATTACTGAATTGACATTAATTGTCGAAATGAGCATCTAGTGCAGTAAAATTGGTACCATTAATGTTATTATTGGACAGATTTTTAGGCATTATATATATATGAAGTATGTTGGTCTATAAATTATCATACAGCACCACTCGTATATTATATATTAATTTTGTGTCGACCTACATGTAAATATGCGTTGAGTGTTTGATACTGGACGTAAGAAAACAGTCACCAGTTACTTCAATCAGTTCTACGGTGAGAGGAATATAATTTCCATCCTTTATTCGTAAACAATCAGATTCTCAGAGTAAACCAAGTAAGCGAGTAGTTTATAATCTGATTAATTTTGTTGCAAAGCAGGCCAGTCCGTGTCTCTGTGTCAATAGTTGCATAAAAGTATCATAGCTAAGGCCGCGTCTGTTTTTTTTTATCCCACCGCCATAGGCGAAGGGGGCATTAAGTGTTACTCTAGATCGTCCGTCCTTCCATCTTTCCGTCCGTATTTCCATCCAATTTTCGTTTTCGCACTCTAACTTAAGTTTGCCTCATTCAAATTTTATGAAACTCATACACAATGCTAAAATCCAAAACTCGCAGACAGACTTCGAATTTTGGCAGTGAGTCATTTACCGTGGCGTTCTAGAATTGTGCCCCTTCTTAACTTGGAAAATTGCAAAGCTTGAGCGGGGCATGCTTATCCTCAGACACATTCGTCTTTTATTTTATATATAATTTTTGCGTCAAGTCAAATCTACAAAGCGATTTGCACATCCTGTAGGAAGGAGAAATGCACAGTAAACAGTGGCGTATCCAGAAATTTTCATAAGGGGGCCCACTTACTGTCTAAGAGGGGGCCCGCTCCAGTCATGCTTCAGTGATTCCCTATATAAGCAATTCATTTTTTCCCCAAAAAACCCTCTAAATCCGCCTCTGGTAAAATCCAGGTAAAAGATTTTAATTTTATGAAACATAATTAAAATGCATTTATTTATTATTTTTTTATCTCACAGGTACAAATGTACACAAATGTACAGTTGGACAGGATGATATTTTTCTTTTGCCCTATCCCTTTTTTCAAAACTCACTCTCTAAACATATTACCTGGTACATAAATTAATGCATTAGTATACTATTTCCCAGATATTATCAATGACCACTGTGGATAGTAAATAGTCTGAGTATAAATAGTAAATAAATGTTGTTCTATTATTATAGTTATTTAGATAAGTCTAACACACACACACACACACAAATAATTAATTGAGAATACTATTACACATGTAGTTATAGTAATCTCAGAAATAACAGAATATAAAAAAGTAAAGGATTTTACTGAGCCTCGGAAAAAAGGGGGAGGACAAAAAATTGTCCTGTCTCCAAGAACCTGTGATTTATCTAAGTTCAGCCATACCCTAAACGTTTCAGTGAACACAGGTTTTTCTATACTCAGAATATTTATTTTAGGTGTAACAAGGGCGTAGCTACCCGGAAGCATGACAGCACGTGCATCCACGTCGTTTTCACCAAAAAAAAAAGAAGAGAGAGAGAGGGGGGGGGACAAAGTTAACTTATAGGAATTGGTCTTTCTATGTATGTTTTTTAAAAACTACACAAAGAATAAAAGCAAGAGGAATAAACATGCAGCTAAATTTTTAGTCCTGTAAGACATGTATGTGTACGATAAATGCATACAACTGGTGTATACATAGTGGAACTTTTTATATTACGGACATTGTTTAGAAAAACAGCTACATCATGTCGGTACCACCGCCATAACGTATACTAGCATTGAGTGCAAAAATCAACATATAATCCCTTTAGGGTTAACAAAAAAACTTGAAAATTATTATTTTCCGCTTCGCCCCAAAGCACACATCTTACTAGAACGAAGACTCTTCAACTTGTATCGATCCGGGAATAACGACTGTTACCTTGTGAACTAGTTAAAAAATTGACCAAGTATGTAGGTCTTGACAACACGAATACTTCATTTTCACATCACGTCAACGTATTCTCGTCCTGATGTGCATGTAATATTTGCTACTGGACATTAATTACCATTCAATCAACCATTAGTTTCCATAAACTGATAGACGAGAAGTTGGAACTGCTGTTATTATAAAAAAAAGTACACATTTCCAGTACATGTATTACGTTTTTTTATTTATTTTACAAAAAAAAAACATCTTGTATACTGAACTATTTGTATCTTCACTGTTATCATCTAGATATTGCAATACAACTTGTCGAATGCATATGTATTTGTTAATTAGCTGGATAATTAACAAACGCAGATCATGAAAAGATCGTGATCAAAGTACCATTCCCTCTGAAAAAGTTCCTCAATTTCAACTTCGAGAATTCCTAACTGCGTAAAGTAAGAAATTCCTATCTCTCTCTTGTCACAGAGTTTACCCACAGAATTTTTAAACATCAAAACAATTATGTTCAGCAAAATATTGGAGAATGTGTCCACCAAGTATTTGGTATCCAAAGATGTTTATGCTAACAAATTCCACATATAGTATTGTGTTTATGTTTATGTTTATTGTTTGTTATTTATCCATCTACTTTGCTCAATACAAATACTAGCATATGGAACAAACCTCCGTGATTTTGAAAGCTCTCATGGCGTACAAAAAACGCAAACGACAATGTTTAGTCTTCATTCGACTCGAAGTTAAACAAATAGTTGACCAAAAAACGACAACAAAAATATACAAGTTTTATTACGGTTGTGATTGTTTTGAAACGCTATATATGCGGATTTTCCGAGGGGCTTCGCCCCCCTGGCCCCCGTACCAGGGCTTTGCTCTGGACCTACTGGGGGCCTTAGGCGGCCCCCAGACCCCTCGCCCTTTAGTTTGTGATTCCACTTCATTAAGAAGGTAGCTACGCCCCTGTGTAAACGGAGCCATATTTGTGAATTCCTGCCGAACAGAAAATTTTCGTAGGGTACGTTATCCGGAAATATAATTCGGTATATGATTCCGATTGTATTTTGTCAAGCGTTTCAGTGGAAGAAATCATACAAACGCTTGTAAGACATGTAAGAAAGGACACGAGACTTGCTTTTTATCAGTAAGGGGAAAGAACTCATTAATCTAATGCAAACATGGCGGCTATCCGGGGAAGATCAAGTTTTGTGTTTACAAAAAGGTTGGTTATTCAGATCGTATGAAGAAGAATGACTTGTTACTTTGCCATAATTTATTTAAGATCATGATCTTTCGGTTTATCTATATGCCTATTATAATCACACGGT